ATATAATTGTGTACTCTTTGCAGCGTTGATTTTCGTTAGCCTTATTACCGTCTATTGTTATCATCTCAACGATCTTTTTTCTGTCTCTATCTATCTCTACCTCTTCTATATTATACAGACTGAAAAGATGACAGTTTTCGGTGCATTTATGTCACGCTGCTAATAATATTCTAACTTTAGATCCGCAGATAGACGGTAATTATGCAACATAATTGCGTGCGCAACGCAATAAGGAATACCAACAGAAAGTTTATGGAAGCCAGAATCGTGATTCGATACCGGCACGCACGATCGGGGGGGAGGGGGGGGGATACCCCTTAAATGATACCCGCGACACTCGTTTATCCGTTTGGCACGTTACACACAAGGCAAATATCCGCGGGCGATTATGGCACTAAATCAAGCGTTTCGCGGAGAGAGAGGGGGGGGGGAGACGGCGGGGGATGTGGAGGACGGAGCAATCTGAGGCGGCGCACGATCGCGCGAAAATTCACCTCGGCGTTGGATGCGCCTTATCTCGGCCGAAGAACGTGCATATCTGCTAGGCGGTCAGATAAGGATGATCCACCACCTACGAAGCGCAAGCAGTCGGCGCAGAAAATTATGTGTGCCTCCGTAAAAGCGTCCTGCCCTCGTCCACAAACATTGCCGAGCGAGGGGGGGAGGGAAACTCGTGAGGCGGCCTGGAGTGGAAGAGACAGCGGAAAACGCCAGGAGAAAAGACCAGAGAGGAGAATCGCGATCGAATCGCGCGTTGTGCCTCATGAGTCTCTCATGGCTTTACGCTCCGGAGCAGCTCCGAGGGAAAAAACTATTTTCCGTTCTGGCTGTCGTCTATCATCGGATTTTCGGTCGGCTCGCAATGCAACAGCGCAAAGTTGCAAAGCGTTACACACAGCCCGCCGATTCGTCAGTGTCGATGGCCGGGCAACGTTTATCGCGTTTATCTCGTCGCCGATAAATTACCAAGGGCAGCCAGATATAAGCGTTACGGTCCATTAACCGGAAACTTCGCGTAATGCTCGTCTCCGCGTAACGTTAATTTCGACGCGCGCGTGCTGTATGCGGAAATGGAAAAAAAATGCAGTTTTATTACAAAGCTACAAAACCACTCGCCAGGGACAAGAAACAAATTCAGCGTTTCGCTTCGGGCATTCGCCTCGTCCCTTTCTCACAACCGGCCGGTAAACGCGCATTTTTCTCGTCGTAAAATTAACTCTCTTTTCCACGCTCTCTCTCTCTCTCTCTCTCTCTCTCTCTCTCTCTCTCTCTCGCTCTCTTTCGGTTTCTCCTATACTCTCTTTCATCCTGATGAAAAAGGTCATATCAGGGGGCGCGCTCCTCTTTTCCGTTGCAGATTACTTCAAAGCAAATATTCTCCGCGCGTTCAAAGGTATTATAAAGATATAACTAAATCCGTCGAATTTTTGCATCGTAGGTTAAAGCAAGATTGTTGCGATATATAAGTAAAATGACGAATATGTATAAAAAAGAAAGGATGGAGACTTCGTACGTTGTTATCGCGCGTGCATTGTAAATTCCATTTCCGGCATCAAATATATCTAAAATACCAAAATAATTCTTTAATATTAAATTTTTTGGCAAATTATTTGGCACGCAGATTAGTCAGCTCGATCTTTATTAGGATATAAAATTAAAAATCGGTTACTAAAATACATTTCTATATCTGACTATGATAAATATAACAGTTTGACATTTATTTAGAGAATAATACTACGGAACCCTTCATTCTCAAAACCACAATGTCCCCGAAATGACGGTAAAATTAAATGCAAATCAAAATAATGGTAAGCAAATTGTCGGAAATGACACCTGTAGCCAAATGATTTTATTCGCTGACTACAGGGTATCCGGATCGTATTTACCCCCGGTTTACATCGGCTTAATGCCGCATTGATATTCGAAATAATAGGGACTCACTGGCATATACATGCTTCTCTCATACACGTAACGTATCCATATAAGCGTTTAGATTTACTGTTTCCACTAGCCAGCAACCAGCGAACATGGCTTTGCCAACGTTGAGGCTTTATATCTCTACTGAGCAGAACGATCCGCCATATTGTATTTCACTGTCATTTGCTAAATATGTGCAAAGCCCAATAATGGTCGTAAATCTACTATCGAACGGTACAGCTACCCATTTACAATCCCTTGATTAGCGAACATCCAGATATTTCCAAGCGTTCAAAAACTATCGATACGTCAACGTTTTGATTAGCGAAAATCAATTTTAAATTTATATCAAAAAATTCACAATTATAAATCACCTATTTGGAATTTTAATTGTTGTCGATAAGATATTTCGTATACATATATATATACACGTATACCCCTGATACTCTTGATTCAAGAAGAAGAAAGCCTATTCCTTTAACGACTTAATTGGTCCTGTTTGCATCAAATACGAAGTCTTACAGTCCCCTCGTAATCTCAACAGTCTTTACGCCATTGTCCTATAACACCCACGCCATTAACAAGTTTCGAGCTTCTTAGTCGTCGTCCACGACCCTCTAAAGCGTCGTGGTCCCGTGGCCACTTCAATCCACAAAGACGGTCCGCGACCATCTCGAAGTCCCGCCAATTAAGTTAGTTACCAAATTCAAGAAGTCAAAAGAAGTGCTTTCGCGTGACAAAGAAGAAATGACGCGAGTTCATTGACGTTTCACGTAAATTTCGAGACTAGGAATTAAATAAGCCGGAAAATCGAGAGATCGAGATAGAGGTACTTCAATTATTATTTATATTATTATATCGAGAATACTATTTTTATTACGCGAAGAAAATAAAACATCGCGATATCATTAATGTCTTTTAATCAAAATAATATACGACTAACAGTAGAAATAAGTAAAAATTGAAAATTAAATATCCTGACTCGTCGGAATCCAATTGGAAAGCCAATTTCATGTGTATTAAAAGCGCATTGATAAAACGTACGTAAAATAATACATTACATAAATTAATACCCTTATCCCCTGGTGTCCTCGACATCCGAAACGACAGTTCGCCGGTGCACGAACATGGAACGTTACCGCAGCTCGTTACTTCGCGAGTCTTTACGACATTGTCTCGCGCCGCTGACCATTGGCGAGTTTCGGACTTCTCGGTCGCTGAAAGGAAAGTCAAAGACGGTCCCGAGACGGTGCGAGAAAGCCGCCAATTAAGTCAAAAGGGGGAAAGTCTGCCTTGGCAAATTCCGGACGCGCGTACCGCTGCGGTTCGTTTGCCGTCGTCAGAGCGCGACCGAGAAAATACACTTTGACCTGAATCGGGGTGTTAGGGAGACGCGTACTCGATGTCTCTTGTGTACTCGAAATCGAAGTTCCTGCCCGCGGTCGTCGCTCCGGCGAACTCGGGAGATTGTGTCCGTTCGTACGTAGGTAGACGGGGATAGATTTGCCTCGATAGGACCAGACAAGTTGAAGCCGCTGAACAACTTTCAAATGGGACAGTGAGTTTATTTCGCAGGACGGATGCAGTCGCACGCAAACGTGTCAAAGAGACATTTATCCGCGCGATTCTGCCCATCCGATAAAGAATTACGTTCGTAAGGAAAGAATCATCAGGTTCGATCGTACTAAAGGTATCGAAAAAGGTTTCTCGCTCTATTCATCATCGCCGTCAAAAATCGGCTGTCGATAGAAATAACACAACACCTCGCGTGATCGCGTATTTTGAGAAATAACGGACGGTGGGTTTCTACGTGGGTGTAACGGAGAGCCTTCATTGTCATTATAAGACGATCTGTTACCGCGTGGGAGCTTAGCGGAGAAATAAGCTCCACTGGTACAAACGCTGTACAAAAGCCTCTTAGCCCTCCAGCCCGAGCAAGGGTGAAAGAGGACTAATTTGTCTATCCGCGCACAGCTGGGGGAGAACTGGTAGAAAAGAACCACGCTTATGGGTCACGCTTGGGTGTGCAATACATCCGGGAAAACCATCCGGCCATTTAGAGGAACACGAACAGCCCCGCGCCGTTGTTTCCACGATCATCATAATCCACCCCTCGACGTTGTTTTCGCACGGGTTCACGCCAGATTCTGAGCGACCGAGGTGGATTAAGGATTTTCCGCCTGCCTCTCGTGGCCCCACTACTGCTCGTCGCCGGTGACAGAAAAAAAAGGAATGACCCAATTCGGGGGTTTTTCTGGTTTTAGAGGCCAGCTTTTGCAGCTCGTTGCACAACAACGAGAGCAGTAACGATAGCCCAGTCGTGCAACGAATAGTAATAGTATTGTTGGTCGCATTCGCGTAAAGTGATCCGCAAATATTCTTATGTTGCGCAATGTGCTCTTTATATATAAATACATGTGGATTTTGACATTTGATATTTATATACATGTTATTTCTTGCAAATTATTATAATTTACTGCAGGCACGTATAAAACATTTAAAAACTCCTCGATAATATTAAAAAAATATAAAGACACTTTTATTCAGTGATAAAAATTATAAAATTCAGATTATATAAGTATGCAAAAAATAAACTTAAAATTATTTTCAAAATAGTATTTTAAAATATAAAGACTTTATTTTCAATTTAAACGTTTTATGTCGATTAAATTATTTTTAAGTTTCAACTTTAGATTATTATAATATTATTAAACATAAATATATCTATTTATTCACTGCAAATATTGAATTATTTCTGTATCACATTATTTGCCATTTATATTAAAGATATAAAATTTTATATATATATATATATATATATATATATATATATATATATATATATA